AAAAGACCGCATGTCCCTACGATGCCTCATACGCTGATATAATGACGGTGAAAATCTGGCTATTTTCGGGCCGAAAACGACCGTCGGATCGAGTTTTACTGCCGAGCTGCTCTTCGTGCACGTTTTGAGTGTACTGTACTGTTGGGCTTCCGGGATCGCTGTTGTTGTCCGCGCTGACTCGATAACTTCATCTACTAAGGCGTCTACATCCAGCGTAAGGGCAGGTCATCACCATGGCTGATAATAACAAGACGTTTTTGATGGCGTAATGGCTCGTCACATGACTGAACAGTGCCGACCAAAGAAAAAACTCACTCGACCGAGGCAACAAGAGAGAAAAAATAGAAAAAGAAGAAAGACCAGCAAAAGAAAAGAAAACAAAAGATAGTAGAAGGAAAATAATTTTCCATTGTCACAGTGAATGACGAAAGAACGCGAGGTTCCCGAAGCTATGGCGCAGAACGAGAGACAGTCGCAGCCACTACAGTATCCGTCGAGTCGGTTTTTCGCAAAAATACGCAGATTTTCACGCGCTCATTACTCTCAGCGTAGAGGCATCGTAGGGACAAGCGGTTTGTTTTTATAAGTTAGGCAAGGTAAGGCGACAAGCTGATCCAAATAATACAAGCAAGAATCGTCAAAATAAAACGGGGCAAAGTTTATATTCGTCTAATATGCAGCATGTTTCAGCATTTACGCGTTGTACCGCTCTCCTGCTTAAATACGCTCTTGGTATTAATTTTTTTTTTTCTAGTCTTTGTTTCGGTAATTTTCTACTGGAACTCTAGATCAGTCTTATCATCTTTATCTTTAGTAAACCTGTGACATTGAAAGCTTCTCGATCTTCTGCTGTTGGCAGCGTTAATCTCCCGATTTGATCAACCCTGAACTCCATCCTCGTTATAACATATATATAGCTAGTCCTTTGGACTCTGAAGAGTTACCATTGAGAGATTAATTCGTGCCTCACCTTGCGTTAAGTAGTGAACGGTTTCCTAGACCACTTAGTTCCTGAAACAGTAATCAGAAACATGTTAAACTTAAACTAATTAAAAATAAGGCCCTCTACACTGTGACAGTCTGTATAAACTAAAACTCTACAAAGACATTTGGCACTACAGTACACCTATTTTTTTTTTTTAATTAGGCAATTAATCCCATCATAATACAAATACATAAGCAATACTGTTTACCAAAAATTCTGAATTGGCATAAATGGATAACTACTTCAAGGGATCAGTATATACCAACAACAAGTCCGACGAGCCGACAGCTGCCTCATCTAGACTCTACTGGCGGGGTGACTCTTTGGGTGGAATGGGCTGAGATTCCTCGTAAAACCCTGTTAGTCCAATTGTGTTCACCAATACTACGCCCTGACCAGTGAATGGCACAGGATGGTATCAGGACCTTTCAAAAGGAATTTCGTTGGGGATCGTTATAACAGTTGCCATCGAGATGGGCGCGTACGTTTAAGTGTCTTCAGATTAAAGATGGAAGCTGCTCATCGTATGTAGTAGCAACAAACGTATGTTGTCAAGACCAGAACTAGGTAAGGCACTCATCCATTTTACCTACGGCACAAAGCCTAGCAGGCTTGCCAATAGAGAGGCTGCCACTGTAACGCCAATTACCGGGCAGGCACAAGAACTACGACAGTACACACTACCATGCACCGGGGCCAGTAGCATACGTTACATGTAACATACTGACAGTACAGGAATGGCCCATAGACAATTATACCATTTAAGGAAGGCATAAACCCTTCTTACAACCCAAATTTAGCCTTTTGAAATTTCAGCTGTGACATTCTTGTAGCTCATACCATCCAGGCATGTATATCGCATCTACTACGCAAACCCGGCCAAAGCTCAAATTCTTCTAACAGACCAGTAAAGGGGAAATCCATCGTTTTAAGCCCTCCTCTTGAGGGTGCAATAAAGCTCTAGTCCGAGACCCACTTACTCCTTCGCATGTCAGAGTGACGGGATCATTTACCATGATCCTTTCAATAAAGCCATAAAATGCTAGTCACCGCTGAAACAAAGAAAGTTTTTCAATCGCTCGCACGCTACACATGTCCGCTCAGAAACATGTCTAAAATCTGCCCTGTGGCGCATTGACCTTTGACTCCTGTGACCTCCAATTTTCCGGCACAGTGACATGCTTTTCCTACATGGATCTCATACACCGACTATCCGACCTAGGTGCGACCGGGTTTAGATTGTGGGCCGCATTCTCTGCATTTTCCTCACTATACCTTAAGGTTTAAGAGCGAAGTGAATCGGTTCCCACCTTCTTCTACACCTCTTGACCTTTGACTTTGACCCACAAGCTTCGACATCCCAAACTCGTTTGACGACTCCCCCCGATGTGCCGAATGATGTGAACCGTAAAGTCGAGGCAGATTCAAGATTTTGTGCCCACTGTTGACGGACGGACGGACGGCACGAAACGATCATGCAATTCTATCAAGCTGCATCTGACTATGTCAGATGAGCTACACAGACCGCGCAGCGCGTGTCTTGGGTGCTCATGTGAGGTCTGTTGCTACGATGTTATAAACGTTAAAATTTCAGTCGTGCGTCGTACACATTATGTAGGCGCAGATATGCAGCCATGCTGCAGTTGCGTACACATATTGTTAGGACACGCGGCCCACTATCGCAGATGGAGGTAGGGGGGAGGTGGGAGGGGCGGGGAGGGGATGGGGCGAGGGAAAAGGGGATGGTGGGGGGAGGGGACTCTAATAGCAAAAGCAGTTCAACGTTACGCTCCCTCGCCTTTGTTAACCGTTCAAAAATCCATAGTTTAAATGATTGTTTTATATTAACAAGGTAGGACAGCTGATCAATAATACTGCAAAGAATCGTCAAAATAAAACGGGGAAAGTTTATTAATCGACTAATACTGCAACATGGTTTCAGCATTTCACCGTTGTACGCTCTCCTTCTTTATACGCTCTTGATAATACATAATAAAATTTCAGGTCAATTGAGGACCGTTATAAGGCTGTTTCTGAGACTGCACAGACCAGATCCATAATTGGGCTTGGAATCTCATGCTATCGAGCAAAGCCTAGCAGTTTCGTCTCTAAACAACACCCCAGGGATTCCGCAGAACAAAAGCATGATAGCGGAGAAGACGAAATGGCTAATGGTCACAATCCGCAGCTAACGCTAACCGGTTCCTGCACTGGTGCTAAAGTGGTGGCAGAATATGGTGAGATGCAAGGTGAAGACACAGTCATGGAAGACGCAATGCAATATGGCAGCACGATCGGTGGCGGTGCAAGGAAAGGTGGTTCAGCAGAGAGCGAGAGTGCGAGCTCGCGTCCTGAGCGCGAACTGTGTACGGAATACACCGTGCAGACGTTCAGCATTACCGTGCTCTGTTCGGAAAGTTACGTCGTCGAACCTGCCGCGCTGCAGTTCCTTGTGTCTCACGGGTTTGATTTCAACAAGCAGTACACAACCGGCGTTCCCTACTACAGGGGTAATGATAAGGTGAGTTAATTTTAAATTAACCTTGCATAGATGGATGTTAGGTACTTTACTGCAGTCTCGCTCACACAAGAAAATGTATGTCAGGGTTCTCCCTACGTTGCGCAAACGGCGCCCCGTTTGGGAAAACTCCCCCCCCCTGTTTCAATCCTTGCGCCCCGTTTAAATTACCTCCGCCCCGATTAAATTCCACCACAATAAAAGTTTGCCAGCGCGGGAATCGATCGTCAAGAATTCTCATTCGACCAGGACACCCGGCGAGTGTATTTTTACCGTGCCACGCATGCACTGCACACAATACACAAGTACAAACAGTCAACCTGTCCCACACCAATCACTAACTGGTACACCGACTCGCTTCTTATATACTTACAGACCCAATACCGATTCTATGGCAGGGCTGTGCGTTGACGATTTTTTTCACGCATTAATAGTGGTACGAAAAAAAAGCGCCCCCCGGAACCCCCCCTAGTTCTCCCCCCCTCCCCTCCCCCCTGTTTCGAATTTCATCCTGGGGAGAACCCTGTATGTGCATCATTGCCCTGGCTGCAGGCTTTGTTAATTATGTTTAGATGATCGGGCCGCAAGAGCTTATTGCACTCTTATTTCTTTCATTTCGTACACGTTTTCTTATGTTTTTCACATATATTAAAGCGCGCGCTCTTTCGGTGAGTCAGTTTAAGTACGTGACTCATTGAATGTGGTCGTGCTCTCATGATTGCACTTGCTGTATGTGACGTCCTATATAGCGCTCGAGATACGAATTTTTCAAGATACGAACAAATCTGTGGAACGAATTAAATTCGTATCTCGGGGGTCCAGTGTATATACTCATTATATTTATGTAGTGTATTAACTATTATAGACTAATCGTTACCCTCGCAGCGTGACGACGACGACGAGGCGTGCCTGCTGCGGCGCGTCGTCACCGAGCTCGTCGCCTGCCGGCGCGTCGTCGCGCTCCACAACGGCTTCATCGACCTCGTGTTCACCTACGCGAACCTGTACGCCCGCGCTGCCCGCCCGACCCTCGCCACGTTCCCTCGCCGACCCTCTCGCAGATGTTCGCCGGCGCGGCGTGTTCGACACGAGCACATAGCGGAGTTCGGCGCGCGCCTGCCCGCCTCCTATCTGGAGTACGTCTACCGCAAGTGGTGCGTATGCGTCGCCGAATCGATTCCCATCGCGGCCGTCCGCGGCTACTTCTTAGCCGATCGGACGGGGTTTCGTCTGCAGATGTATGTGACGATGTCTGCCACGATGTTTGCTGATGATGTCTTCAGATGTAGTGTGACCGATTCGTGCACGACTGTCTGAGATGTATGTGACGACGTGTATGCAGATGTATTGTGACGATCGTATGCAGATGTAATGCAGATGATATGTGACGATGTCTGCCAGATGGTATGTGACAATGCTCCGCCCACGCCGCAGATGTATCGCTGATTCGATGTCCTGCAGCATGTACTGTGACCCCGATGTCTGCAGATGTTTCATCTGTGATGATGTCTTGCAAGATGGTATTGCTGACCCCGATGTCTGCCACGATGTATGTGCACGCATGTCTGACCAATGCATATGTTGACGAATGTCTGCAGATGTATGTGACGCATGTTCTGCAGATGTAGCTGTGATGATGCTCTTGCAGCATGTAATGTGACGATGTTCTGCTGCATTTATGTGACGATGTTGCCCAGATGTACTGTGATGATGTCTAGGCTGATGTATGTGACGATGTCTGCAGATGTATGTGACGATGTCTGCAGATGTATGTGACGATGTCTGCAGATGTATGTGATGATGTCTGCAGATGTATGTGACGATGTCTGCTGATTTATGTGACGATGTCTGAGAGTCCATTTCAATGTTCGACGATGTCAAGGTCACGTTGTGGTCACCGATTAGAAGCGCGACACAACACACACAAATGATCGATGAGTAACCAATCAACTTCGTATATCTCACTGAACGTAAAGCCTGGTAAAATGCAATACAGAGTAACACACGTGTGCTTGTGTGTGCACGTGAGCCTGCTGTTGAGAGCAAGTCTGAGAATACGACCTTGCTTGCGTGACCTACATACGGTCGGCCACCTGCACAGGTTGAAGCCTCGCAAACATGCTGATCCGGGATTGGTCGACTGAACTCTGGCAGTGTCTATAGCTCACTTGTAAATGATATTATTTTAGATATATGCTACTTTATTTGATTATTCTTGATTTTACTGATTATAACTTCCACTCAAGGGAAATTGTGAAAGTGTCATTTACAGACAGGTGTTTGTTCTTTAGAGTTGCCCACTAACACAGGCTAAACGGTTGCTAAAGGACCATCACTTATCTATAAAGGCCACTTTTAGCGTTTATGTAGAGGTTTGGTAGTGGTTGCCAACGTGGATACAATCTGGTATAATATGAGACATGGGCAACTTCGATTTGTTGGGGTTTGTTAGGTATTTTTAATGTTTTGAAAAAATTGGCATAGTACTTAAGAGAGTACATGGTACCAAAGAAAACATAACGTCATTGCTTGTGTTTGTACAGTTTGTTTGTCCCAGCATTATTGTCAGTTAGCTGTTTTTAATTCCTGTGATAAACTTAAAGGTGGAAAAATGCATCAAACTATTTTTTAGTATGGTATCATTTGATGTTTGATGACACTATATGTGTGAATGGGTGTTCATGTTCATTTTTCTTTTGTTGTTCAAGCCAAAGAGACAATTTTGCTGAGGCTCAGGGGTCTAAACGACATATAGGCATTCACTTTCTTGACTACCGTGACTGCGCTGGTTTTGTTGACTACAGACCTTGTGGGCTAGACATGGGAGACCACACTGGAAGTCCTTTCTGCAAGCGTTATGGTGTAAGTGGCAGCTGACTTGGTTAAGCAGCAAGTAGCAGTAAACTGAAATTTTACAAAAGGTTAACATTCATACCAAATTAACAATTATTGTAAGAACATATGGTTACGGGTATTTGGCGCAAGGTAAAAATCGAACTGATTCCAAGATTGCCAATCACAAAATATAAGTGCATGGCAAATTCTCTCTACATGTCAAATGTACGTAGATTTAACGGGTTGCATGCTTCCGTAATTTTTACAGTATATTACCCGCGTTCCTTCGTTAGAGGTTACGGAGGTGTTTGCCTGCAACCTTTACAGTATATTACCCGTCATACCTTCGTTAAGAGTTTACAGAGGTGTTTGCTTGTAAATTTTTTATTTATTTTTTTCACTTCAGTGCTAGAGTTGGATGAGTTTTATTAATTTATCGCAGACTGTTTGCATGTTTTGCTTGTAAAATTTTATAGTTTTATTTTACTTCAGTGCTAGAGGTGGATCAGTTTTAGTAACGGTGACTGTGTGTGTACGTGTTGGCAGGCACACGGCTGGTGTCCCGCGGGAACGAGCTGCGAGCTCAGCCACGACATCGACGTCATCCTCGACAACGATGGCTGCACGATCGAGCGGAAGAAGCGCAGGCGCACGCGCAAGCGAACCCACCAGCGGCAGCTGAAACACGGCGAGGCGGCGGCGGTCGTCGTCGACGCCTCGAGTCGAGATGCGGAGGTCGTCGATGCCTCAAGTCGAGACGCGGAGGTCGTCGACGCCTTGTGTTACGGCGAGCCCATGGGCGAGACAGCCGGTCAGTCAGTCGGTCAGCTCGCTGACACCAACAGCGGACCGGCGAGCATGGATCGTTCGTCCGTTATCGACGAGGCTGCTCGTGGTGAACACGCGTTTGTTGTCACTCGCGATGGAGGCGAACGAAATGGGAGCACGGGAACCGAGGAAAGTTTGCTAGAGGCAGGGGATGCCGCCTCGGTTAGCCGTGCTGTTAAGGATTACTCAGTGAAGCACACGGGCGGCCACAGGGCTGGCTACGACGCCTTCATGACTGGTTTTGCTATGGCCTACTACATACGCAAACACGGAGATTTGAAGTCGCCTGGCTTTGGACTTGGACGGTTCGAGAACAGGCTGTGTCTCAGTGGTAAAGACGTTGGGCTACTTATTTCTAAAAGTACGTTTGTTAAGAATTCCAAGTATCACACAGAAAAGCTCGAAAGAATAGAAAATGCGCAATTGAACATTACACATTAGCATTTCTTTGTATAAGAATAGTAGTTAATAAAAAGCTTCAGTGACTCATTATTCCTTACAGTGATGTATGTTGGTTCTTCTCATTAATCAAAACAGATGGGTGCATTTGCACTTATAGAATCGTTTGGGTTTTCATTTATAATATACATATATTTATATAATTTCATTCCATCATTTAAAAGTGGCCACTATCATTTCACTGTTGTTAAATCATTACGGGCATACAATGTAAATGATTCATTTTCAATATTTATTTAGATAAGGAGGCTGCATAGGTATAGGTTTAGTAATAAAATAAGAAGTCATGGACTTTATTTTACACTAACATACAGTTTACAAGCATTTCATGTTTATATATAATTGGTGCATGAAAAAAGCAACTCGATTATTGCATCTAACAAACTACTCGACCCCATAGTAAAACCACCAAAAATGTAAAATTATACTATATCATGTAGACGAAAGAATCGTCTATACATTGCATGAAGTTGAAAATTACGCAAACATTCATGTGATACTATACATCATATACGCATGTTACTATGTTTATGGCCAAAATTAAATACACGAACATGCTGTATAAATGTGAACCATTATAATGAATAGTTAATAAGTAATAGCCTCCTCTCCTGCAGATATATGTTGCAATTATATCATTTTTACATAATAAAACTTACCCACATGTAAACATTTTCCTTACGCTCTTCGTGACACGTAGTATTGAGTATTTTATAAACAGGACTAGTATACAGTAACTGCTATCAGCAACCTTTCTACATGTTCATTATTATCTAATTCTACAGAGCCAATAATTAAACAAGGCTCTATAAATGTTTATGAGATAAATTTGATTTTATTCGCAACAAATTTAGAGAGCACCATTTTGTCCTCAAATGTTAGTATAAAATTATCCTTGTTCGTTTTTTTTTTCAATGAAATTACTCCTTTTCGGCATACAAAATTCTGATGGTTTTCCACAGACAAGCTAACTCTATGAAACTAAATGGCTGCCCATAACAGATGCAAGATTTTAATTAAGAGAACTATCACGAAGTTGAGACAGTGGTCTGGACAGTTCAATGGAAAACTAATACATGCCGTATTAAAAAGGTGTAAAATAATATTTGTCATATGCATCTATAACCACACTTATAGACATTGGAGCTGTGTCCACAACATCTTTTTTGCTCAAGCACCCTTACACCTTCTCTAAAACGCTTATGTTTACGACTAATATAGCACATGCATATCACAATTGCATTACAATTGAAATGTGGTCAGTTGAGTTTTTGCATAGGTGTTGGCTACCAGTAAATTTTCCAACAGGATACATGCGAACCAAATTTGTCCAAACCAGGAATCTGACACATTTGTCATTATTCACCGCTGATGCGAACAGAGCGAGTACCTTGACATTATTCGTGGTCAGAAGGGACGCAATCAGGATAGCATCGGGAGTAGCGGAAACAAGTGGTCATCTGGTTGTTCTTGCAATAATGAGGGATCTCAGCGTGGGTACCTGAAGACGAAATTCAAGTGATCCCGATTAATGACCGCTCTACAAAAGGATATAACTAAGGAAAAGCTCTATAACACGTACCTACAAAAGGAAAACACTTGCACACGTGCAACGCGACATATTAAGCACCAGACTTGAACACGGGAGATCACAGGTTAGATAAGCTTAAACAACTACACTTTCATCAAGGATGTAAATGTCACACGGAAACAACTCGACTCGATTATTTTGCAGCCAGAGCAACCAACGATACCGTCGTGTGGGGTCGAGTTCATAAATTTGTGTGCACGTATAAAGTTTCATGCATAGTTGTTGTATTTTTAATTAAAAAGTTCTACTACATAACTATATAACTCAGGCCCGTAGCCAGCTTTATATTGGGGGGGGGTTCGTTTTTTAATGTTGGCAATTTGCTCGGCAGGGGCGTGAACAGGATTTGTACCAGGGGGGGTCTAACCGTAACCCAAAGTTGCGAGCACGCGAAGGGGGGGGCCCTCCCCCAGAATTTTTTTTAAAATTACACCCCCTCAGATGCGTTTTCTGCGCGAGCAAGGGGGGGTCCGGACTCCCTGGACCCCCCTGTACACGCCCCTGCTCGGGCGCGAAGCGACCAGGCGAGGGAGCCAAGCGACCGAGCGGGGGGAGGGTGTGGGAGGGGGGTGTTCACTGTTCACCCTCCCGCACGATGAAGATTTTGCAATTATTACACTAAAATGGAGCGACCTGAGGTGAAATTCTTGCAAATTTTCAAACAAAATTTTTTTTTGCTTGGGGGGGGAGGGGGGGGGGGGGTTCGTTCGAACCCCCCGAACCCCCCCTGGCTACGGGCCTGTAACTTGACTGTGCATCATACTAAAGATAAAAATGCAAGTGTATGAAAACTATATACATGTACAACATAATTCCATCCATAGCTGAAAAAATCAAGCGAAAATTGTAACCATTTAAAAGGTCAATACGTGCAGTTTGTAAAACAATGCAAGGAAACCAAACAAACTAATGTGGTCAGGTAAGTTTGAAAACCTAAAGCGGATATACCTGCTTCATGTATCCTCGTTAAGGCGACTACAAGCGATCTGTTATGCAGCTATGTGCGTAAGAATAATTAACAGTTTAGTCCACAAAAATGTGTCCTCATGAGAGCCTAAACATCTGAGTATAACTATCTGCATACATCTGTTATAAAAATTCTTCGTTATTAGGTCTTTGAAGTACTATTACAGAAAATGAAAGTACACCCCTAGTTTAACTTGAGTTTTTAATCTGACAGGTCTCACTGACAAATATTTTGCTACCTACGTTAATTGGCTATCATAGACAGGTGCACAACTTTGGCTTCTGTCATAATAGACACTAACTATGTGAGAGAATATGAAACTCCTGACAATCATTACACAAGAAATACGTAGAGCCGATAAAACAAAGTGAAATTGTACCACACTCACTCTTCAACGGTCTTGCTCTCAGTGACCTCCACCGACGTAGACTCCTGTATGTAGTCGTAGCTGACGTTGCGGTCCCCGATACTGGCCATGCTGTTCATCGTACCGTGGTTGTGCCTACCACCACTGCTCTGCGCTACCGCTCCTCCGTACCCACGGTCTTCGAGTGCCTGACTACTGCTACTATATCCACGACTCTGTTGTTGTCCGCCTGCTCCGTGACCGCGGCTATCCTGCCCGCCACTGCTATACTCGCGACTTTCCTCGAACTTGCTCTCCTGCGTCTGGGTCTCATTGTAATCGCGACTCTCCTGAGCGCCTCCACCGTATCCCCCGCTGGCCTGGGCCCCGCCACTGTATCCGCGACTCTCCTCGGCCCCGCCACTGTATCCGCGACTCTCCTGGGCCCCGCCGCTGTATCCGCGACTCTCCTGGGCCCCGCCGCTGTATCCACGACTCTCCTGGGCCCCGCCGCTGTATCCACGACTCTCCTGGGCCCCGCCACTGTATCCGTGACTCTCCTGGGCCCCGCCACTGTATCCGTGACTCTCCTGGGCCCCGCCACTGTATCCGCGACTCTCCTGGGCCCCGCCACTGTATCCGCGACCCTCCTGGGCCCCGCCACTGCCACGACTCTCCTGGACATTGCTGCTCCTGGCATAGGCACTAGTTTCCTGAACCTGCCCCGCTCCACCGTAAGCATTCAGACCTCTACTCGAGGCGCCCTGTCCTCCCCTTCCGCCTTCTCCCCCAGCGGCGTGGTGACCCGATCCGGAAGCGGCGCCGCCATGCTGCATGGATTCGTGATGACGACTGCCACTGTAGGCGCTTTGGGCGACGCCTGCAGCGGCCGGCGCGGCGTGTATTGCCGCAGTGCTGTAGCCGGCGCTCCCACCTCCGTACGCGCCACCGCCGCCGCCTCCGCCGCCGCCGCCGCCTCCCTGGTACGCGGCGCTGTAGGCATCGTGATTGTAGACGCTGCCCTGGTGGTGATCGAGGCTGCTGTCATAGCCGCGGTTGTCAAAGTTCTGCGCCGTCTGGTAGGTGCCCTGGCCGTTGCCGTACGCTCCGCCGCCCCCGCCTACGCCTCCGCCTCCGCCGCCGTGCCGGTGACTGTACTCGCTCGCGTTCTCGTGACCGAGCGTGTTCGCGCTGTACGGCCGGCTGGCGACCTTCTCTTTCTTCGACGTCCTCCTGTATCCGGGAAGAAAGGTTTATGCAATTCATTACTCGGAATGGGTTTACGGAATTCGTTACTCGGAATAGGTTTACGGAATTCGTTACTCGGAATAGGTTTATGCAATTCATTACTCGGAATAGGTTTACGGAATTCATTAGTCGGAATAGGCTTACGGAATTCGTTACTCGGAATAGGTTTACGGAATTCATTAGTCGGAATAGGTTTACGGAATTCATTACTCGGAATAGGTTTACGGAATTCGTTACTCGGAATAGGTTTACAGAATTCATTAGTCGGAATAGGTTTACGGAATTCATTACTCAGAATAGGTTTACGGAATTCATTAGTCAGAATAGGTTTACGGAATTCATTACTCGGAATCGGTTTACGGAATTAATTAGTCGGAATAGGTTTACGGAATTCATTACTCGGAATCGGTTTCGGGAAAGGTACACAGATATCTCGGAGTCAATGTGAAATGCGAGTTATGCGGAATAGGGCACGGAACAAAAGTTATTTTGAACAGGTGTCGAACTGAAATTTTTAGCAACAGGGTTATGTATTAGTTACTCTGGAGCTTAAAGCCGTGAGTAAAGCTGCTAATCATATAATTAATGTTCGTTATCTATATCACAGCTACGACGTCTCACTTTACATATGTATAGCATGTTTGCATATTGTATGTGTCAGACATTTAGATGTCTTAAAAGATAGAAATACATAAATTGGTACGTTAACAGTTAAACTGAATTTAAGAAATAGAAATATTCCTACTCATAGCATATAACATCAGTCTTCTGTAAAAACGTGTGATATCACCAACAACACTTAACACGTACTACATGCCTCAAACCACATACATTAACAACATGCCTGTATTTGCCCTTAATGTCATCACAAATAACATTCTTGTTATAAAGAACATAGATCACAGTACACAAACCACATCGATGTGCAGAACCCTAACTGTTTCGCTTCAAGACCTAAAATTTGGAGACCTAATTCAGTAGAACGTACTTCCTGGTGCCTTTCGACCGGTAACTTTATGTACATTCTAATGAAGCCATGCACACCAAACAGCAAAACACGAACACTGGGTTCCAATCTATTGGAACTTTGCTGCCATCAACAACGGAAAGAACTATATCACGTCCACTCCACAAACACGTGCCGATACTGACAGCAAGTCTCACCCGGTTAATACCGCAGAGGATTTGCATTTGTTTGGGAAGGGGGAGCAGTATTTGGCTGTGATGGTGCAACCCGCTTCGGAGACATACTAGAGAAGTAAATGTGATAAAAACTCATGAGTACCAACACATATACGCACGCGGACACGCACGCACACACGCAAACACGCACGCACGCACGCACGCACGCGGCCAGTATTTGGTTCACCATCTCAGGCAAAATTCCGAGTTAGCATCTAGTACCGTGCTAGGGAATTCTGCTCGAACGTAACACAGGTGTTGCGAGGCCGCAAGAAAGCCGAAGACATGAATGTGTACGCAAACAATTACGACGAAAGCACTGAGAATTGAAGGAACCTGCACAAAGCTCAATCAACAACTTCTGACAGTACCCTTCATAATACTACGTAACAACAATGTTGAGATTCCCTAGGTACTACTATACCTCCTATCGTTTCGTGTCTGGGTATAGATCTTTCGTCACTAATCACCTGCATCATCAATAGTAATGAATTCCCATTAATAATTAAGATCGTACGCATCACCTACCTCTTCCAGAGGCACAGAGCAAGTGCCAGGATGAGTATGATGAGCAGAAGAGACAAGATGATGATCACGGGAATGAGCCAACGCTGCAAACACACAAAGCAAACGTCAGCTAACTAACACGAGTCTGAATTAAAATGCTATGAGATTAACAACTGGTCTTCCTTTCTCTCAATTCTGTCATTTCTCTCATGCTATTCACCCTGTTCTCGCCAAAAAGAAAGTACAAAGTGAAATTATAAATACAAATATGTTATGGCTTAAGCATTATACATGCATTACGCAATCAGAGATATAAAGAACATTTACGCGTGAGGCGACTGTGAATAAAATTGGCAAAAATTCAGAATATTAGATTATCGTAATAATGTCTCACACACCGTAATCCTGTCTACATACCCATTTGCTGCCGCCGCCGCCAGCTCTGAGAACGTCGGCTGTGACAAGCTCAAGGGCCGTCTCCGGCAGGGGACTTGGAGGCTGCTTTAGATCAGGCAGGATGGCAGGAGACGCGATGCTATCATTGACTGTCACCTTGTAGTCTATCATCGTGACGGGATCTCTGTAATTTTTCCATCAAATTTACGCTCTTTAATCAAAACACGTGAAAAATAAACACACGTTCACGTATTTATCTGTGCACGTTCATATAGATGTTCAGTGGCATAGCCAGGATCTTTTAATGGGGGGGGGGGCAAAACCAGCAAACTGCGCAAAATAGTGGATGACTTAATAGGTTCCTCCGCCTCCCTCTCCACACCCTACGATCCCCCACCTCTCAGCTCTGCAATCTTTGTTTTGGGAGCCATGCGAAAAGCCGACATTTTTGTTTGTTGTTCTCTGCTCCCAAGATATGTAACTGTAACATGTTGACAGTATACTTGCAGGCAAACAAATAAATAAATGGAGATGAAACTCACCGGTCTCTGGTGACGTATTTCTCAGTATCGTAGTGGACATCCTCGACCAGAATTCCACCAGGAGGCACGTACTCTGTAAGAACAATTATAAAACACTGTACGTATGATGACATATTATACAAATTTTTACAGCGACTGTTGCATAAACCTGCAGTTTATCAACACCTGATTGTTGTATCTGACATAAGCAGAACGAATACACAATCACAGGCACAGCTAGGTTCCATACAAGAAACACACAAGCATATGAATGCACTCAGGCATGCATGCATGCATGCATACACACACATAAATATTCTACAGGTATTATATTATTCGAAGGATTTAAGTTAACCGATGTTTCCTTGTTCTTGTTTTACATTGCTACATTAAAGCTGTTAAAATCAGGTCAAGCAACATTAGGAGTGTACACAGCGGTGAACACAGTTTCCCTCGGATTACACAACTATAAACGCCTACTTCTGCTGCGCAAATGCTACAAATTTGTTTATTACTGTGACTAAACAAGTGAAAGAGTCATCCATCAACGGACTTGCTGATCGCTTGCATACCTGCATTTCTCACTGCCCACTGCCCTTGCAAGGAGGTGGCCGTCTCCTTCTCGTCAGTGTACATGACAGCCTTGAGCCGAGGAACGCAGCCACACAGCTTGTTGAATGTGGGCAGCGTCTTATTAATCTGCACGGTAAGTAAACTCTCACAATGAGAACATGGTCAAATAGCACGCACAGGGAGCCCATATACTTCTACCACAGTCTATAACTCAATTTCACTACTTTAAAGTCTTTAATTATTGGCTCCTTGTTGCTATAATAACATCTATCACTGAGCTCTCTATTACTACTTTACAATGCAAATGCAGTAAAATTCTTTACAATTTGGCTCATGCCACGCATGGTGTTCCACGAAGAACCAGGTAATTGTTGTGGTACCATTGAAACCTAATTAAAAAATCGTGTGGTGTTGATAGTACTTTCTATTAGATGAGGTTACATACGTGTACCAATTATTTTTATACAGAGGACTATATTCTGTTGATGAAAATTCATAACTAATCCTAAAATTGTTGTTTGAGAGTTAAACCGCAGGAACATGTAAGAGTAAGTAGTATATATAGTGTCTATAATATGTAAGTTACTGTAGTGAGGACGGTATCCCGTGAATAACATGTGCCCTTCCACGCCTAAAAACAATTACTGAAACAGGTACCATCTACAAGCTGCATTAATTATTGAAACAATTCCCTTTAAAAAATCTATCAGATAAAACAAGTTTCGTGTTCATTCGACGTACGACGTTATTATTTATTCATGGGCAATAAAACCGTGACCCACGTACAGCTATACAGACTATAGTGGCTGTGTATACAATAACATTTACTCACTTGGCTCAGCGTAGGCTGGCAGAAAAGTAGTGCACAAAAATAAGAAAAAAAGACTTCTGTTGTAATGTTTAAATAATGCATCGATATCCAGTGCAACTGTGCGGCATAACAAACCTTGCAGACTGCATGAAAGCTGTTCGATAAACCATACTGAGCTAGCTTCAACGAAACACTAAAATCGTACAGACGCATATATATTGTACTGCAAGTACCAATGAAACGAGACCACAATTTCATAGTTTAAGAAGAATAAAGTCTCAAGCTTGATTATAGCATACAGCTGGCGTATATAGTACCGTCAGTCAGTCAGCATGCTCCTGTTGCAAAAATTTACCTGTTGCGGTGTAGGTGCCTTTAGGAAGAATGGCTCTGGCATGGATCCATAGAGTGTTGTTGTCTCTGTCACTCGTACTAGTGGCGAGCTGTAAATGCAAGACGTTGTCATATGTAGGACTCGATACCGACAAATACATTAAAGCAACAAATTTCACCAGGCAAAAAAACCGAGACTTGCATGTTTCAAGTAAATAAAATTTTCAGTTAATTGCTGAGAGTCAATAACAATTAATTTTTTTAAGAATGTATACATCCATAATTACCACCTTAATTCTATAAATCTAGGAAACATTCTACTTACTATTCAGGCCCTTTAGTTACTAAATTGCCATCCACAGCGACAATTTGTGTATTCCAGGCACTGTTAAATGCAGCTGGAAATAACAAAAATATATGAAATGTATCAGTGTTTTATTTCTAGTAAACAACATACCTAAAAATATAGCAAATCTATATTACTACATTTCAATAAATATCATAAGCTTATTCTTTTGCATGCATAAAGATTAACATTCTTTTAAACGTGACAAATCTTTGAGCGAATCACGTAACTTAATACTTTATTTGACGTGTGTGTTAACGTATCTGCTTTGCTACAATTTACACATGTCAAACATTAAATCTTCAACTACAACGAAGACACGAGCTACAGAATGCGGCATGTTTTAGAATGCATACCATATAAAATTATAAACACATACCTCACATGCATATAAATACATACCACACATACATACCATACATACATATACCATATAGAATACATACCATCATTGTTAAGCGTCAGCCAAGCTTGTTGAATGCCATACTTGATGGTGCGGTTGTTGATGGTGTCTAGGTCCCCGTGCACGTACAGATAGGATGCCTTCACAGGCTGGCAGTCGCACAGCTCCAGGTTATACTCTACACACAATTGATCCACATTGCATTACGTATTTCACAGCGAGATTTTTGAGAATGTATTTATTGGGACGCTGCATCGTAAGATTGTTAGCAATTGACATCGAGTTTTTAATATGCACAACATTAGCAGAGTATGCGCATGTTGCAGATATTATTTTTTATCCCAAAATAAGCGATTTGTTTTAATACTTATAATTACGTGTTACTATACATATCGTGCCTGAAATACAGTCTGGATAGTAAAGGAACACTTTCAATGTTGGAATTGCTAATACTAAGGACCCTATTGTGGCAAGTCTTATAAGCACACAAGTGAGATCCCCTTTACTAAATTTCTCACAACTTTCACAGATACGAGACACTCGCTCCTTTCACCTACAGTCTCCTCTCTTCCACAGTGCTTAGCAACTAATACTTGCCTTCCTTTGCCAGAGTTTCACGGAATGTTTCAGGAAGCAACAAGTATGAGATATCTTTGTCATCTGGTGTGTTTGACGTTACAATGTAGTTGACCTTGACAGCATAATCCCAGGACTTGGTGTCATGTGGGTCAGACAGGAACACATACGGAGATTCGATGTTCAGCACGTCCACAGCATAGCCTAAGAAAAACAATAGAAGATGTATAAATATCATTTGGAAAACGTTTTACTGCTTTAATTATCACCTACAATTATGATAGGTCATCTTAAATTCTCTTTTCACTTCATCAAGCATTCTCCTATATGATATATGGTAGCACAACCAAATGTCACAGCAATACATTAATTGAATCACAGAGAATACTGATATATACACGTTTCACCACAAACCACATGTAAACTGGAATACCAGAACACAAATTAGGGTTTCTATTTCTATGCATCTAGCGGGGCTAGTAACCTGCAATGATCCTCTATGTTATCCAGAGTAAATAAAAATAAATCAACTTGTATTTATTTCTGATATTAATAATTATTTATATATATATATATATATATATATATATATATATATACGTACCTTGCCCGAGCGTATCCCAGGCTGCTTGCAGTGCATCCTCTACCTTGTCATTCTCGTACGGTGCCAGCTTCGCCTTGAGGAATATGTGATGCACCTTGGTCCTGAACTCACAGTTACATGCTAGCCCATAGGGTCGCAGGCTATTGTCAAGGTTGGGGTTCTGTACCGGTCCGAAGCGCATGCGCGGATCAAGCAGGCGACCGTTGACTTTAGTGAAGTATGATATTCCTGTCAGATGAGCACTGAAGCAGAGAACGTAGGAAAGTTGTAGGTTTTAACAAGTAGATGTGGCACATGTACTAAACTGAATAAAAGTTATCAATAAAGACGAAAAGAAAAGTATATACAATATAAATATAATACATTTGAACATTAACAGATTTAGGACAGAGCACACTATATGAACTGGAATAAACAGATAAAACACGGACTAAACACATAAATGGTGCAAAACGCACTGAGAGCCACAAACTATTACGGACCAAATTAGCAGTTCATTACAGTCCGTTGCAAAATACATGGACTACCACGTACTATAACCACAGACTGCTAACAGACTACCTATTAACAATTACTTATCTAATCTTGAAAGTCCGTGATTATTACGTTCATAGTACGTGAACTTCCCCACGAGCGTGGCAGCCGCATACCAGCAGTGGGAGCTATTGAAGCAGCCAAGTATTATAACAGGTGCTCTTCGTTTGTTTTGCACCATTTATGTGTTTAGTTCGTGTTTTATCCATTTATTCCAGTTCATAGTGGCAGTTAATTTGAGATGCATGATACCCTTAAACATAAGTACTGTCATGTGAATACGACAGTGCATATTATTCAAGACAATGTTTTGTTTTAACATGATAGCAAAAGGACTCAACCTCTTGTTGCCAGTGACAATGTACGGATCGATCTTGGCCAGTACGATATCGATGTCAGTCGGATCCACGTCCGGCAGACTAGCAGCCCAAGCATTCTCCAACGCCTCCTCTATGCTGGCTCGCTCCGAGCTACCAACATCTCCCCTCACGAAGACCTGCCAAGATAAACGATTACACACATAGCATTCCCTAGCTGGACTAATCACAACTAAAACAAAAGGTTTCAATCATCTAAGATATATGTAGGAGGCCTTATTTATATAATAGTCTGAAACGTGTTGGTCATCAGGATCTAAACAATTAAACTCAAACAGAAATATAAAATGCTGCCAAAAAACGATTTATCTGTGGCAGGTATGGTTTTAGTATTTAAAGAAAATGGAAAAAATATGGTAAAAATTCAACTCACAATCTGGATATTTTACATCACATTTTTTCCGAATCAGAACTGCTGCTGCATTGTAACATATTCACATCCTTAATTTAAGTCATATCTTATGGAAATAGAGTATATATATATATATAGTTCTCTTACATATGGATCTACGTACCATATATGCATCCTTCCAGTTAAATGCTACGTCAGATGGATAGACGTTGATTGCATTCTGAGTGTCTTCAGTTAGCTTCTTGGCAAAGTATGTTTCATTGATACCATTGTCCTTTTCTTTAGGCACTCGCGTTGGTCCACCGAACACAATGTATGAGACCTCTGTCACACCGATGCTACAAATGGCACACACACACACACGTTAATCTTGCTTTCTGCTATGTATATAGGAATGACCAGTTTGTTTAAGCGAATTATTTTAGTTTCCATCAGTACGCAATTTTTAATGTAATATCTGTGCATCAACAGTTCCCATGTTGGGAAATCTAACTTTTCAAAGTTTGCATGATATTTGGCAGGAATTTATATACATTTTTATATATTTAACTAGATTTATTTACCCATTCACACCGGCCTTCTCTTCTTCCTTGACAGACTTTACTCTGATTATACACCTGCATTCTTCAATGAAGTCTGCAATATCAAAGTGTTTACGAGTTATGATTTAAATAATGCACGCACACACACAGAAACACATGCGCGAATGCACACATGCACGAGCACGCACACGCACAAAAACAACACACGCACGCACACGCACACAAACAACACACGCACGCACACACACACAAACAACACACGCACGCACACACACACACGCACTCGCACGTATGCACGCACAAACAAATGCACGCACGCACGCACGCACCCACGCACACACACACACAAAACCCAACCCTCTGCCCCCCCTTCGACGACGACGAGACCTGCAACGCTCTCGCGACGCTCACCTCTGTTGTTCGCCTCCCACGCCTCCTGCACGATGACGGACACCTTGCTGACCGGCGCAGGCCGCGTCAGCTTCACCATGCGCACGCTGGACGGCGGCCGCGGCTCACACTCGCACGAGTGAAGACCCATCGCGGCTAGCTGAGCGTTGAGCTCGCGCTGCGACGGCTCGTCGAGAACGTAGCCGAACGGCACCGTCGTGCTCTTCAGGATCGTGTAGCGCACCGCCTGTATCTTGTCGCTGTAACAAACACGGAAATACACTATATCAGTGAACGCGGCAGCGTCAGGCTCTTCAGGATCGTGTAGCGCGGCACTGCCTGTATCTTGTCGCTGTAACAAACACGCACTCATTATATTAGTGAACCGAGATTTTCGCGAAATAACTATAATAATCTCAGCAAAAATTCCCTACTGGCCAAACTCTGGAACAGTCCAGCTGCCGGGTTTGTAGCAAACCCTGAGCATCCACTCATCATCACCTTTACCAGAGGTAAAAGTTGTTATTCTCAGTGGTTTTAGACACAAGCAAAATAGTATCATGACCAAGTGACCAAGTGTATATATACACACACGCACGCACGCACGCACACACACACACACCTACACACGCACACACGCCCCCACCCGCACCCGCGCGCACTGCACGCACACGTATGTATTTATTTATTTATATTTATATTATAGATATTGAAAATGCTTTCACATGCCTCATGCCAGTAGTTTAACATCTCAGCAGCAGTGATGAGAGAGAACCACTCACCCCTTGTCATTGTACAAGTTGTCGTCAATGCCGAGTAGCTTGACTCTCCACAAGTCCTGCTCTGCACCCGATTCTGCCCCTGCAATGCGCAAAAACATTCAGCTATCGGCTACTGGACTCTGATACCCAACAGACTTCTTAGTTGAAGAGAGAAGCTGCCCAGTGAATGTGTGATGTGTGTGTAATGCTATGTGTATGTGTACTAAGCACAGGTAGGATCCGGTCTGATTTCATGATGGAATGAATTGGCGACAGGCGCAGAAATTCTACGTGTCTTAACCCTGGAAGACAATCCTAATTAACCAGGTTTCCTCATGTACTAGTGCTTAATATATTCTAAGCATACAAAAATGGCCTTCCTCGTTGGTTTTTCTTAGAGAGCAAATTTAGCAGATTCGACGCAAATCGGTGAAGTAAACTTTGCGTTACTGTGTTGCTTTTGTTTCTGTTGTTTACTGTGTTACTTCGTTGTGTTTGTAAAAGTGATACGGATTTCACGACCACAACGTACTTGGATTCTTCTCCACCCACGCCTCACGGATGGCACCGAGCGGTCTCGACAGCTGGTCTCCCTCCAGCGGCTGCGTGAAGTTGGTGTAGTAGTGGTAGACCGGCGAGACCTTGCAGGCGTGGCACAGCCGCTTGTCCCTGACCAGGTTGTCAAGGTTCTGCTGGACGATGGACGACAGCGGCCACGGCTGGATCTCGTCCTTCAGCGGCCAGTGGCTGCTGCGGGACAACGGCTCGCCGCCGCGCGTCGTTACGACGTACTCGATGCCGGTGACGTCCTCACTGCATCGAAACCGATGTCACAGGATGAACACCAAACATGCAACATGCGCATAGTTACATGCACACTATATTGGATCGTATTTAACAAAATCTTATCACGTCGAAAGCCGTTCAGTACGCGTGGCTGCGACATTTAATCGAATACCATGTAATTAATGCCGTATGGAAATAATTTTGGTAAGCATGTATGGTGTTGCTCGATATTTGCATGCATAGTATAGTGGATGGTATTTAACAAAATCTTATCACGTCGAATGCCGTTCAGTACGCGTGGCTGCGACATTTAATCAAATATCACGTAATTAATGCTGTATAGAAATAATTTTGGTAAGCACGTATGGTGTTGCTCGATCGACTACTTACAAGTACTGCCTGCGGACATACGCCTTCTGTCTCAGAATTTCCACGTTAACGGGAACTGCAAGAAACAGCACAGCAATGAAATTGTTATCATCCCTGTCGTCGTGGCAACACACGAGACAAACCATCGAGCTATATATAGTGCCTATATTAACATTTAATAAGTAAAGCGTTTACATGACAACACAATCTCACATGATTCTGATACCAGTAATAATCCATTACAATAATCGTAATGAATTAGAACAATAATACCAATCAGATAAATCCAAAGAATTTAGGAGACAAAAATTTGCATCAATCAGGAGAGGAAATGCTCGACACATCTAGGTGATTACAGAACTCTCGATGTCAATGAGTTGTTTGAAATGCCCCTGTGAAGAAGTGAGTTCTCACCGCTGATCTGGGTTTGAATGGCGCGCTGCAAGGCTGTGCTGATAGCCAGGTACTCATCAGGTTCCACACTGCCATAGACGTACAGTGTGCGCACAGGCAGCACCGTCTGAAGGTCAGACTTAGAACAAACAATGCAGAGACACAGATTAACATAAGATTTTCATCCCAATATGTAACTCCTTACCATCATCGCTACGAGTAATACAGAGAAACAATACTTCAATAAATAGTGTGACATCTCGTGAAGGTGAACATTGATAAATCTTATGTCGGACGTTTAAATTTTACTACGTCATTTCAGTTTCCATGCAGCTGATTGTGTGCTTACAGCAATTTATGATCGTACATGTGGTGATGCACAGATTAATTTAAACCTGTAATTAATAGCTTGTTAGAGCATTAATCACCTGTGAATTCGGATCCCACTCTGGAGCTACTTCTCTGGAATCAACTAACCAATTCTTAAGATAGACCAGATACGGAACGACTGTCGTATTCAATTGGTTACTGAAACAAAAATTTATATGCATACAGAAATGCAGTAATAGCCATAGCGTCAAGTCAACATAATATATATACATATCTATCTATGACATATATACACGCACACACTCGGGCGCACGTAGAACATAATATATATACATATTATATCTATGACATATATACACGCACACACTCGGGCGCACGTAGAACATAATATATATACATATCTATCTACATATATGCATACATATCTACCTCTAAAAACGACCAATTATAATGTAATGTAAACCGATTGGGAGATTAACATCTATACATTAGCTAATAAGTTTGCTTACAAAGTTTGCTAATTAAGTTTTCTAATTAGTTAAGTTTGCTAATTAAGTTGGCTTACTCTGCAGTTCCGTGTTCAACATAGTTCTCCTGATATTCCAATACGTCCAGGGAAAGATCTGATGTTCCAGCTCCTGAAAAAAAACAGAACAGCCCAAATTAATATTCATCATCAAACTGCAGGACGCGTTATACTACCATATTACACATCGATAATAACGTCCAGTAAATAATTAAGCAGATAATTTCACGTTTATGCACAAAGCAAGTAAGATGGCGTGGAGAAAATAATTACCCATCTGGTTCATGATGTTTTCTAGTGCACCGGTGCTGGAAATGCTGCGCACGAGCCCAGACGCACTCTCATCGTGTAACCTGGCTGCCTGCTTATCCTCCACGTAGTATGGAATGACCTTGCTGTAGCTGTAGTCTAGTGGTATCAGGGTACGGCCTGAATACATGCCGTACTCCACCCCTATGTCATAGAAATCACAGTTAAACTAATATCACGAGGATCATACAATTTATACATGATAAGAAACAAATAAAAAATGATATATAATATTATCGATGATATCATAGGGAGAGAGGAAGACAGAGAGAGAGAGAGAAAGAGAGAGAGAGAGAGAGAGAGAGAGAGAGAGAGAGAGAGAGAGAGAGAGAGAGAGAGAAGAGCAGAGAGAGAGAGAGAGAGAGAGAGAGAGAAAGAGAGAGCGAGAGAGAGAATGAGACAGAGAGAGAGAGAGAGAGAGAGAGAGAGCGGGGAGAAACTATTATCATGAATGAAAAAATAGTGCAATCATTGTATTTAACTACCATTGTGGTGATGTATGGAACTCAACCCACCATTTTCTAATAGCATTTCCTGGAAGGTTTCTGCAGTGGGCCTGCCAGCACCAGCCTTGTTTGGATGAGCTCCGTCGACAACAATGTTGTACTTGTAACCAATCACAGGCGCACTGCAAATTACAAAGATTCTCATAAAAAACTTACATGTGCATGTGCATGTGCATGAGTATGAGTATGCCAGTATGTGTATGTGTATGTGTATGTGTATGTGTATGTGTATGTGTATGTGTATGTGTCCACATAAATGTGTATGTGTATGTAATGTGTATGTGTCATGTGTACTTGTGGTATGTTATTGATGTAATGTGTATGTATGTGTATGTCGTATGTGTTATGTGTATGTGTATGTGTACTGTGTATGTGTATGTGTATGTGTATTGCATGTGTAGTGTTTGGATGTGTATGTTGTGTGAAGTGTTGTATTGTATATATACGATTGTGTATGTGTGTGTGTGCGCTGCTGTGATCGTATATATGTGTATGTGTATGTGTATGTGCGTGTGTGTGCGTGTGTATGTGTATGTGTATATATACATGTGTATGTGTGTGTATGTGTCTGTGCGTGTTACATGTGTATTTGCAACATTACCTATCAGGTTTTAAATACCTCTGAACACACACACGGCGGCTAAATTATGATAATTAGGGGTCACTAATGACTCGAGCATACTCACTGAAGAAGAAGTATACTTGAAGAAGAATACTCACTTGTTGTCACCGACATAGAACTCGTTCGGTGGATAGAATGGCGTCACGACAAACTGCTGTTTCCTGGTACGATAGTTATTGCCAGTTGTCATGTTCCTAAGCACTGCAAAGGGGGAAAAACCATTCTAAACACTCAGGCACATCACTAAGCTCAATCTACGAGTAGCACAGCATACGTACAGTTATAAATTAGCACGTATAGTCAGCTTACACATGAATTTTACGCAACGCTGAATTGAGTATTACTTTATTGTTATATATCCAATAAGAGATACGCAACGGTAAATAATATATCGTCGTATAAAACATCTCGCGACAGAGGAATAACGTTCACAAGACGCTCACCCTGATTTGCGTTGTGCCAAGCATCTCGGATGGAGACGCGTATGTTCTCGTAGTCGTCTGCGGTCAGCGGACCGGGGATGTACAGCTGCTGGTGGTCCTGGCACGTGGGGTCGTCGGTGGGGCACACGTTGATGCCCAGCCGATTCCTCATGACGTCCTTGTACACGCGTCCGCTCGCGACGTCGCTCGTGATCACGTACCCGTTCAGGTCGGTGTCGTCGAGCTGGAATCTGTACAGGTATATATAATATTATTATTTATAATAATAATAACAATAACAATAATAAAATAATAATAAATATATATAGTTAACAAGCATATACAGGTAGGTACCATTTTACGACGGGGTTAGGTTCCAGTAAAACAGGGTCGTAAAATGAAAAGTCGTAAAATGAAGTCGTAAAACGAGACCAAATTATAATGCAATTAAATGCTATCATTCCACCTACAATGCACCACGAAAAACAAAAGAAGTGCATATTGCGCGTTTGGACTCTCAGGCGTTGCTGCGACGTGTTATCGAGTTGCGATTTTTTCGTTATTTTCAATTTTTATGTAACTTTGAAAACGTTGTTAATGTGAAAAATCCCATAAGTAAAATGGACATATATATATATATAAACGGGACCTACCTGTACTTGGCGCGCATCAGCCCCGGCCGGAACGCCTCCTCCACCCCGTCCACCTCAACGTCCAGATCGCCGGAGAGTCCTTCGAGGAGCAGCGACGTCGGGAGCGCCTCCCGGACGGCGCGCGCCATCGCGTCGCTGTCGACCTCGCGCTGCGGCGAGAAGTAGTAGAAGGAGAGCACCTGCTGCGGGTAGCAGGCGCCACACAGTGACACGTTGCGGAGCGAGAAGCGCGACGCGAGCAGATCGCTCGTCGCCGGCTCCCGCGCGCCGAACTCGCGTGGGTCGCGGCCGGCTAGCAGCACCGTGTACCACAGCCGCGTGATCGGCTCCCCGCCGACGCCGACGTACTCCTCAGCGCCCTCTAGCGTGACCGTCGCCGGCCGGCCGCCGACCCGCGTCCAGTAGTCGGTGAGCGCGTCCGCGGCGCGGCGCTGGAACGCGCGGTCGCGCCGCCACGCGGAAATCGGCGCGCGAAGGTAGACGTCGCGAAGTTCGGTCGAGCGGAGGCACTGTACGGGGGACATGCGGTGCGCGCTCGTGAACAGCGTGTTGAAGAGGACGTCGGCGCCGAAGATGGATTGCGCCGGCACGTCGCCGGACCCGACAAGGCGGCCGCCGTCCGTCAGGAAGTAGTGCACGCGCAGCAGAGACTCGGGCCGGTTGACGCAGCGCTCCTGGGTCGTCGCGATGACGCGCGCCGCGTACGGACGCGCGCACACCGCCTCGTCGCTGCCGTCCTCGCAGTCGCGGACGCCGTCGCACACGGCGTCGGCGGCGACGCAGCGCGACGAGTTCAAGCAGCGCTTGGAGAGCGCGTCGCGGCACGCGGGCAGCCGCTGCGCCAGCCACGCGCGCTCCAGGTAGCGACGGAACTCGGTGACGTTGTACGCGCTGGCGCCGGGCGGCGCGGGCACGACCGTCGTGAAGCGGTCGGCATACGGCAGCGAGTCGTCGCCGACGTAGAGCTGGTAAGGCAGGCCGAGGCTGGTCGCGAACTCCTGCAGCTGCAGCGTGTACTCGGTGCCGGGACGCTCGAGCGACGTCATCGTGTTGTCGTTGAGGCGCAGCGCGTAGTAGACGCGGGTGACGGGCGCGCCGTGCCGGCCGACGTATCGCGCCGACCCGAGCACGCGCACCTCAAACTCGCACGTGCCCAGCTTCGTGCACTGCCCCAGGTTGAGGTCGTAGAAGATCCAGACGGAGCGGAGCGCCTGTGCGAGCGTGCGCAGGTCTTCGCTCATAGCGATCTCGCCGCGCACGTCCACGTAGAGTGCCATCTGAGCGCGCTCCTTCGGCAGCGGGTGCAGACGCAGCGCCCTCAGGTGGTCGCGCAGGAGAAGCTCGGACGGCGGCACGAGACTCCACCAGAGGTACTCGTATCCGCGGCGCACCGTCACGACGTATCCGATGCGCGCGACCGGCTCCGTCGCGTTGCCCGTCGTCACCCACGAGCGGCGCACGTCCGTCACGCGCACGTCCCAGCGCGTCGGCGGCACCGTCGGGTTCGCGCGAACCCACGCTTCCTTAATCGCCCGCTCGAGGGCGCCGGCGGTCATGTTGGCGCCGGCGTCGTACGTCGCGTAGATCGCGAACGGGCGTCCGTAGTCGCACGCGCAGACGCGCAGCGGCGCGAGGTAGCGGTCGTAGAGCGAGATCGTCGGCTCGGTGGCGCCCCGCACGCGCTCCGGGTCAGAGCCGTTGAGCGCGACGACGTAGTCGACCCGCGTGACTCGCGCGCCCGTCTGCGTGCGTCCGACCTCGCGGCTGCGCACGCCGACAACGGTGGCGACGTTGAGCGCGGCGTTCGCCTCCTGCCAGGCGAGCTCGATGCTGGAGCGGAGCCGGGAGTACTCGCGGTCCGTGATCGCGCCCTCGATGTACAGCGACCTCACCTGCAACGACGCGAGACGCGTTACCGACGACGATCGCTCGATGAGGGTAAGAAATGTCCGATATTATTCAATTTATATATATGTCTGATATATATATAGATATTATATGTCCGCGATGTACAGCAATCTCACAAGCAACGAGAACACGTTACCAGCGACGATCACTCGATGTCCGATATTATGATAATGATAAGGTAATGGACAATTTATTTACATGTCCGATATATATATATATATATATATTATATGTCCTCGATGTACAGCGACCTCACCTGCAACAACGCGAGAGCCCGTGATCGATACAATACGATATCAGCGACAATATATGATATCGATCACATACGCGGGGGGGGGGGGGGTGAAGAAATGCCCGATATTATTTCAACTCATTTTGAGGATCGAAAGTGGTTAGGTAACCGCAACAGCAGTCGGTTTCGAATGATGCATTCGAGAGATTGCATCGCAGGCTAATATACTACATGTATTGTTAGCTTTTGATTGCATTGTTATTTGTGCAACCTCGGTGAGTCAAGTTTGTCCAGGAGGTGCCCTCAGGAAACATGACTACGCCCAGCTGGACAAATCTTTGCTCCTGAGGTGAAAGTCACCCTGTCATACTAAAGCAAAACCCGTATAATGTAATAATACCGAATTAACACGTTCTTATTATCACACTTATAACGATAAAAAGGTTTTGCTACATATCGATAGATTTACCTTCAGTGGGAAACAATTGCACCCAACTAGACCGTCGATGTTGATCTTGTCTACTGCATCCTGTATGCCAGGGTCACTCACTGGCTTTCCATCGATTATCGGCACGTACACGACCTTTGTGATTGGGTCACCTGTCAATCACACGACTTTTATAACACCTGCTAATTAATAAATGCTAATCCCATTACACCTGCAGAACACTGCCTGCACCCGTCAAAATATCGTCAAATGTATTGCTCTGCTGCCAGCTAGGCTGAGTGAGTTTCCACGAAGTAGTAAAGTACTGCACGTGTAAGTATACATTCCACAGCATGATTGGCTTCAATATATGTTCTTATCCCAGCCAGGTTGCTTTCCCTTAAAATTTTAAACTTTGATTTAAAATTCACACGTTACTGGAAGCCTCTAATTTCTTCACGGAAGCACTAGGTAAATATTTAGTAACTGCAAATATATCTATTATATCTATAGTTACTAAATATGTGCCTGACAGAGACGTTCTGATTTATGCATTCATAAATAAATCATATAGAATCATATAAAATTCTATATGTAGAAAAAACATGATATATATATATATATATTCATGGCTATATTTCGTGCACTATGAAAACAAAATATAGAACCATGCAGATGTAAATGCCTGTACATTACAGGAACAGTAGCAATCACTACAGATCAATCAGACATCACTCAAAAACCACAATCTAATTAAGAGGTGCTGCCGGTTATCTACCGTTTTATACTTTTGAAATGATGGGCAGGATAAAAGGTTGATAGGATAGCAATAAAGACAACCATAAGCTATAAGTTGACAGCATTCGTCTTCCTTGCAGATAAGTTTACAAAGCACTCGTAAACACAACAACAACAATACATACCGATGCAGGACTCAGCCGTGCATGCTGCATATTTAATTCAACATACATTATGCCATTTGATCTCCTCTTCATTTAAACTAGGGGTAAATAATCTGTTCGAAATTATTTACTCCTGATTTACAGACACGACAAAAAAAGTTTTTTTTACTCGTATACTAACTGTTACTTCCCATAGTGTGAGAAATGTGTAATTTTGCATCATGACACATCTCAATATTTGTATACCGAGTAATGCTAATTAGTAATTACCCGTAAAAATACGAGCGAAAATTCAGGTAGTACGTGAACAGTGAGATGGCTGTAGAGTAAACAGATGCAGTGTGGACATACCGTTTGAGGTCTGGTAGGGGACGGTTCTGATGACGTTCACTGTCACCGTCTTGGTGTCATCGTCCACGACTCTAATCACAATGCCACGGATCGCAGCCTCAATGCGCTGCTTCTGTGCGTAACTCCAGTAACCATTCAGGTAGACTACAGACGCGATGTCTGAAAGCACAGCAATGCATAAACGTAACCACACACTCTTTCAAGGCAATTGTTGGAATGCCATGTACAACTGTTATTTACTCTTTCATCCTACATGCGTAAACACATGTACAGCATTCTATTCTGTACATATTTTCCCTATATGTGTGAAGATATGCACAGATCTATATACTCTAAACGCATGTCTCTATGATATACACTGGAGTGTAATAATATAGATCTATATAGATCTGTATAGATCCATTGATCTGCATAATCTGCATAGATATAGATATAGATCTATATATATCTAGATCTATATTATTACACTCCTGATATACACTAACCTAAGTTGATGAAGTTATCTGTGTCAGTGGCAATCTGCGTCGATATGATAAACACTAACCTAAGTTGATGAAGTTATCTGTGTCAGGGGCAATCTGCGTCGATATGATATACACTAACCTAAGTTGATATCAGTTATCTGCGTCGATATGATATACACTAACCTAAGTTGATGAAGTTATCTGTGTCATTTGCAATCTGCGATGGGTCGTTGTAGATTGTTGGCAGATGTCGCGCCAGCCAGAAGTTCCAGCTAGTTGGGTATTGATCGATGGGATTGTCCCTCTCAGTGGTCATGTATCCGTGTCGCGTCCATTCCTGACCGGTCGTCGTGTCCAGGAAGGGCACAGTCGACGTCTCGGTGGAAGTCACGTCTGCAGGAGCGCGTAAAATCATCCGATTATCTATCACTAGCAGCTAGGATATACCCGGCGTTGCCCGGGAAATAAAGCGCTCAGGTTCATTTAACGTTTTTTTCCTCCTGCGACCTCAGATGACCTCGGAGGCCAAATCCAATGTGCCCATGACATTCAGCATCAAAAGTTACCCCTACTGAACGTCCTTGGACATTTCTAGAGTGCTCCGTATTGATTTGCATTGAGAACAGACAAACAAACTCACATACATTCACAAATATGTATTAGATAGACCCAGCTTCCAACGACCCATTACTAATCCACCTTAACTATGTTTTCCAATGATCAATAGCTATATATATTATATATTCATCCAATGTTATGCATCGCATGGTTTAATTACTATACCATTCATGAATTTCAACGTCTGAATCAATTTCTGTACTCGTTAACTCCAGAATTATTACGAACTCAAAGATTACAATCCTAGTAATTACAAGAGAAAAACTAATTAAATTACTTAAACTAAATAAAAAAGTAAAAATGACCAGAATCAGGAAAGACATCTCATTAATGCCAGAATTATTATGAACTCAAAGATTACAATACTAGTAATTACAAGAAAAAAAACTAGTTACATAAATTAAACTAAGTAAAAAAGTAAGAAGGACCAGAATAAGGCAAGACATCTCATTAATACCCGAATTATTGCGAACTCAAGTATTACAATACTAGTAATTACCAAAAAAAAAACTAAAAGTAAAAAAGGACCACAATCAGGCAAAACCGCGAACGTATCGCAGCGTGTGAACGTCGGCGCGCACGTACCGTCGGTTCCGTAATAGTACTTGAGCAGTTCCTGCATGACGATGTTGCGGCTGACGTTCGTGACGGCAGGTGTTGTGAATAGGTACGCCTCTGCACGCGGCGCGGCCTCGCCCGTCACCTCACAGTCGCACGGCAGCATCGTCAGCGGCTGCAGCGCCTCTGTAAGCAGAAACGCGAGCGTCACAAGCTTTCCGCACAGCGACGCGGTGGCGACGCGGGACCTCTCCCACATGACGACGATCTCCTCGCCGCGTCGGACACGCTCTGGGAGGAAAGCTGAGGAGGCTGTCGCTCCCTGCAGAGCGGCCAGACGCGTCCGTCTGCAGCGCATGTGCTAATTAAATAAGTGAGCCGCACGCGGGTCGTTATGAAATATTAACGATCTCATCAATTATTAATCAGTTTCCTCTCGATCAATGGTTTTCGAAGCGCTCTGATTTAATCAATGGCTAGCATAAAAAAAGTTCATCGAGCTATAAAATATTACCTTTTGTGTGCTAATTAGGAAGAAAATCCCAAGATTTGCATACTTACAACCAGGAAACCTAAGTAATGACGAATTCTTTTCCCCAGCCAACAAGAACCAAGATAGTCCACATCAGCAATCCAGCCACCAAACATTGACATTACAATAATAACCCATCCCCTGAATTTTTGCCAACGAAACGCAATTAAACCGCCGCTGCATTATGCAAGCAGCACGACACGCACCGTCGATTACAAACGCATGCACGCTCTGGCAATTACAATCGCATGCATGCTCACCTTCGAAGTCACCGATCGATGGCGACCGCAGACCGACCACATCGTTGAAGTTGTGATGCCTGTTAACGAGGTCTTCATTCGTGTCAAAGCTTGTGATTGTGTATTCGACCTTGATCACTCTTTGAAGGCCTACACGAAAACACACATCAGTGAATCTTCTCGCGTTAATGTTATAGATTATAACGCGCATACAATATGATACGTACATGCGATGTAAATAATGCATTTAATGTAGTTAATGTATTTAATGTCTATGTAAATACCACATGATGTGTATGTAATTTAATGTCTATGTAAATACTTAATGATGCGTATGTGATTTTATATCCATGTAAATACAATATGATGCGTATGTAATTAAATACTTTTCTATCGTCTATTATATTTCTATATAAGTAATAAAACTAACATATAATATATTAAATAATAATCACAGTAATATAGTTAATAATAGTTCATATATAATAATTTAAGTAATTAGGTATCAAAAATTACAGCCTAATACTTAATTAGATCATTTATAAGGATCGATTGTCCAACATTAAGTTAAACTGCCTATAGTTTTTGTCTCATAAACATGATGCAAGCTAAATTTGCATTCTATATCGATCAAAACTATTCTACAGAAAAATCGTACATACGATCGTACATCGAACGTAGCAAAGGTAAAAAAATGTCACTCAAATACAACTGCATGAATTCACTATGAAGACTGAAGGCACGAATTATGAAGGCACGAAGATGCACGCAAGCATCGGGAAATAACTCCATGACTCATTGATAATGGACAGTGGTCAGACATGGGTTTAGCCCAACTCATCACCAAATTAGCTAAAACTCTTTCTGCCAAACTCATTCCTACACCTGCAACAATTTACAGTTTTGAACATACCCTTGTCCGTCAGATATCCGTAGCCGACCCGCTGAACGAAGAGACCCCATGACAGGCCGCTGTTGCGGAGCGAACCCTGGTTTGCGTCCACCCAGGCTTGTGTGAGGTATCCACCGAGCCCTCGCAGGGACGTGGGCACATAGTTCTCGAATAGCAACAACTCGTACAGCTGCAACAAACATTTCGACCGAAACCTTTAATTAACTCTTAAAACAGAGTCGTAATAAACTGGAATGCTGAGTAGCATGGATACACACATTAACATCACTAAATTGATAACTCATCCGTGAGAACGATTTTTTTAAATTTATAAACGAGTCAAACATGGCGCTCTATCATAAGGGAGTATCTACCAGAGATCATCAACGTAAGAATAGGTAAAAAATTACGAACGCAAAAGCAATGCTGACGATGCAGCAATACGTCTTCTGCCAAGCAACCACGTAGACATTAGTCACTGAATTAGTCACATATATAGTCATATAAACTTCCCAACATTAGTCACTGAATTAGTCACATATATAGACATATAAACTTCCCAACATTAGTCACATATATAGACATATAAACTTCCCAACATTAGTCATGTTGACGCAAAAACAACAACGTGAAACACTCAAAGCTCAGCGAGGTCGCAAACAAACAAAGGAACCTCCTCCATCGCAATCCACTCGTTATAACGCGACGTACCTTGAACGACTTGCCAACGTAGAGCTTGTAACCGGCGCTTTCGAAGACGAAGTCGACGAGCGACGAGCTCGGGTCGACGACGCGATGAGCGTTGGTGCCCGTCGAGTCGACCTTGACAGCGTACTTGATGACGGTCACGCGTCCACCCTTCTCCAGCATGTGGTACTCGTACGACTTCACGTCGATGTCAACCTCACCGCCTAGCCGAGAGACAGTGAGAAACAGTGAGAGACAGTGAGAAACAGTGAGAGACAGTGAGAGACAGTGGGAGAGAGGCAGTAATCGTTTTACAGGGAGCGAGAAAGTGGAATGATGACTTTATTATGAATGAATGATGAATCTATTACCTACAAAAAAGTTTGCATCGTATGAAAATAAACTGGGTGCAGTTTATTCTAGCCGAGAGAAGTCGTTTTACAGTGAGTGAGAAAGTGAAATGATGACTTGAATCTATGAACCCCACAAAAAAAGTTTGCATCGTAAGAAAATAAACTGTGTGCAGTTTATTCTAGCCGAGCGAAATCGTTTCATGGTGAGCGAGAAAGTGGAATGACTTTTGCGTCGTACGAAAATGAACTGTGCACAGTTTAATCGACAACTGTAAACCAGGTACTAGTGGACACTGTAGCGAGGATATAGTAGATAGTACATATTATTATATAGTACATGTTATATAGTAGATACTACTGATAGACAGTATATAATAGATAGCAGGTAGCATAGAGCTGTAGTACACATGTTCATGATGTTGTGTATATAGCTTCTGTTACCTGGATTTGCATGCAGCCAGGCACTTGCGAGTATAGCATCGGTAGAGTTAACAGCAGCCTCATCCAGACTACCAACCACCTTCAGTTCATATAATTTCTCTGGCAGAACCTTTTCAATAAGTAGCTCGTCCTGAACCTAGAAAACGAAACATGTGCTTTGTACGGCAATGCCGAGTATAAACGTACACATCCAATTAAATCATACGATTAACAATGCTGCTGCAAAATTACGAAGTATATCAACAACCATATCCTGAGATTCTGAAGATCTGAAGATCAGAAACTGCAGACCAGAATCTGAAGATCAGAATCTGAGGCCACAATTAAAAAAATTTTTGTTTGACCTCACCCGACCCAGGCTTTTTTTAAATACAAATTCAGTATGGTACGTGTCTACATGCTCGGGTGTGCTTGTGTGGAGAAACCTTTTATGTTGAATGTTTGTTTTTCTTGGTTGTATGCCTACAGATTTATATAATGTACAGTGATACAATTTGTAAAAAAAAAAAGAATGGGAAAGATCAATAAACATTTTTGAAGATCCGAGATTCTGCTCGGAAGATCCGATCCGGCGACGCTCACACACACCTGCTTCTTCAGCGCCTCGCTCATCTGGTTCGGGTGCGTGATGTTGCTGCTCAGCTGTAGGTAGTAGACGACCTTCGTCAGCACCTGGCCACGCACGTCCGCTGTCGGGATCACGCTGACAGCGTACGCCCGCACCGCGCCGGCGACGGGCCGCGGCTGGCGCGCGAGCACGTCCGACCACGCGCGCGCGACACGATCCGCCGACGCGCGCACGCCGTGCGAGCCGAGCACGAAGTGCGTGAACTGGTACTGCTCGGTGTAGACGAGGTCGTACGGGTACCACGTCAGCTCGATCTCGTCCAGCCGCTTGGCGGTCTCGCGGTCCGGCGGCGGCGTCAGCGTCGCGTCGATGTCGTCGACGTTGGCGACCCAGAGGACGTAGTCGATGCCGAGGATGGCGGTGCCGTTGGCGGTGATGAGGCCGCGGCGGAGACGCTCGACGTTGACGCGGAAGACGGTCGTGCTGAGGATGTCGACGTTGCTGTCAAGCCACAGCTGTCGCAGAACCTACGGGACGAGAGCATCGCACACTGTTAGCGTGATGTGTGTGTGACAAGTTAAAGCTGCGACACGCGGTGACAGTTTGATGCAGGAGGTTAGTGTGATGTGTGATGAATAATTACTGCTGTGGCACAGTATACCTAAACTTACTGCAGTGAACACAATTACTCAAATTACAAAATTTCCTGCAGCCGAAGTTCCTCATCCCGCACTCCTCAACCTGCCACCCACCATCCATATTTATTTTATAATCTATATTATCTATGTTTGTTTTCTTGACATTTCATCATCATCATTTGACACATTTCGCATCCTAGCTTTCACATCCCCTATTCTCGCGCTCAGGCATTCTCGTCATGAGCTCCGTGCCCCTGCGTCCATCTACCCCCCCACCCCCACATTTCGCATCCTAGCTTTTGCATCCCCTATTCTTGCGCTCAGGTATTCTCGTCACACGCCCCTGCGTCCATCGCTCCCGGTGAAGCGCGTTCGAGTGATCGGCACCCCTGCTTACCTCCTCGAGCGCGGTGAAGCTCAGCTCGGACTGGTTCGTCGCTACGAACACCTCGTAGACCTTCGAGCTCCTGCAGTCCGTGCAGGCGATGATGCGGCCAAGGATCTCGCTCAGCTTCTCCTTTGACGGTTCAACGATCGACCCGGCGCTCGTCGCGTCGCCGTTACGCGTCACGTTGACGACGTAGCGAATCACGGTGAGCGGCATGCCATCCTCGGTCACGTGGTCGTCGAACTTGATGACGTAGACGAGCACGACGGTGCCTGCAACATCGGCGCGTGAGCGGATTCTCGCAAGCGTAGTTACTGCGCTTGTCATCGTTCGTCACCATCTCGCGCATGTGCTGTTTACTCTCCATCTTCCAGTTTCACCCACGCTTACCATCATTCACAATCTCCTACTCCAATTTGCCTCTGCCACACTTACTCCCACACACACTAATCCACGTCTGCCAGCTCTCACACTTTCTCATACACTTACAATTTTTTGCCATCTCCCACACTTACTCCCACACTAATCCACGTCTGCCAGCTCTCACACTTACTCATACGCTTTCCACTCTTTACCATTTTCCACACTTCCTCCTACACTTACCATTGTTTGCCATCTCCCACGCCTCACCGACAGCGATACGGAATGCTGTCACGTTGATTGTGTCGCTATCGTAGCGGCCACGAATCAGGAACAACTTCTCATCGGTGGTTGTTGCCGTTGGGTTGAATAGTGCCTCCTGTTGGTAATAGTAGTAGTAGTCAAATCTTTATTTGACATGACATTACAAGAGCATCACAATAGTAAAGGAAACAACACTGATCAATATAAAATTATAAATAGTATCAAATAAAAACGTATTATCAAACTAGTGTTGCTACAGAAAAACAAAAAACAAAAGTATTGTTCTATTTTGGTGTGTACCAAAATTGCATGAATAATAAATATATTAGTGTATAATACTAATACTATGCTGTTTGAACATTATATAACGTCTGGAATTGTGTTTCATTACAGCAAACAGAATTGTGAAATATGGGTATAATGCAGCAATTTAGCAGTAAAAAGCGATGAAACTAACAACTGTAATTTATTACACTACTATATTATATTATACTATATACTATATATACTTATACTATTATACTATAAATTCTACACTTCCGCAAACACTGCTTCTACACTTGCTCTCTGTCTCTTGTCGCTCACCTGGACGCGCGTGTGGTCGATCGGCGCCACCGCGCCCGGCTGCAGCATCACGCCGTCGACCGCGACGTAGTACGTCACCTTCGTCGCCGCGCGGCCGCTCCAGTCTCGCGCCGCTTCCAGCCGTGTCGCGTACACGCGCACGTTGCTGCCACGGCTGCGGTACACGCGCGACCACGCGTCCGCGATGCGCTCGGCGGCGCCCCCTAGCGTCGCGCCGCCGCCGCTCACGACGTGCATCATCTGGTATTCCTTCCCGTAGAGGTCGCTGCTGCGCGGGTGCCCGAATCCAATCTCGGCCAACGCAGCGGCGAAGCTGGCATCAGAGGGCGCCATGAGCTGCCGTTCGAGCGCCGGGTCGCCGACGACGGCGACGGCGTAGACGAATCGGATCGCCTGCGTGCCGTTGATCGTGATGTAGTCGGCATCCCAGTCGGTGATCGTGAGGCGCCACGTGTTGGCGGCGAGGGTGCGGCGATTCTTCTCCAGCCAGGTGCGGTTGAGCGCTCGCTCGATGCGCGTGATCGGGATGCGACCGGCGACGCCCGTCACGTAGATGTCGTACAGCTGTGAAGAGAGTACAATATTAAGTAGATAGTCCGTAAGAGTAGATCGTAAGAGTGAGATTTCACACGGCGCGAGTGAAACCACACAGCAGTGCATTGCAGGTGCACTCGAAGGCAATGATAGCACACGAAACATCATCGTGTCCTTAATGTCATGCCCACTCCAACTTACTCTCTGTTATGCGTATGCACGCACACACACACGCAGCAGTCTCCTTGATGTCGTGCCCACTCTGACTTACTCTGTTATGCGTATGCACGCACACAAGCACACACACACACGCACACAACCAGATGCACGTATGCATGAAAGCACACTCACACAAACGTGAACACGTACATGTCCCGAGCACGCATGCACGCAAGCACACCGGAACCACATCGATACAATACTGCATGCTACGTGATGTCAACAAGCTAGTCGATTACATTAAATTTCCACTATCCAACACATGGGTTATAAAGGGAGGCAGAGAGAGCACACTCACCCTGTGAGAGCCAGTAATGATGCCGCTATGATCTGTGATGGCCGTGCTGACGCTACCAGGTGGAGGAGACCGTATGTTCGTCGAATTCGATGTAACCGTGTAGTAGATGAGCGTAGTTGGCTGTCCGTTCTCGTCACGCTTCTCCTCGTAGCCACCAACGTACACGTAGACAACGGAACCTAGTGCCACGAGAGATTACCATTTAGAATTAGAATTTACAATTTATATTTAGTACTTTATATATATTTTTATATTTATATTTTATATTTTTTTACTTAGAATTTCCCATTACTATGTGGGTTTTATAGTTGTTGGTATATTGTTACACCATGTTTTTTATACATTATTCTTGGTTTTAAGATGAGCTAGCGTCGACGTACCTGGGTTGTAGTCTCTCCACAGCGTCTCTATGACGACCTGCAGCGCCGTCTGGTTAAGCGTCTCCCAGCTCTGGCGTCCGTCGATCGTCACCGTGTGATTGGTCGCCGCCGCGTCCGTGCACGCGAGCTCAACGCCGACGCGATGTCGGTCGCCCGCGGTGACCGTCGACGGGTGCACGATCGCGCCGTCAACCGACAGGAAGTAGGTGGCGCGCGTGAGCACGCCGCCACGTGGTTGATCAATGAGGGGCGTCGCGGCGACAGCGTAGACGCGCACGCGCGTCCGCGGCAGCACCCGCGCCCACGCTCCCGCCAGCCGGTCGGCCACGCGGCGCACATTCAGCCCGCCGCAGACGTCGTCGGCGAACGTGTGGTCGTCGCCGTAAACTCGCGACTCCGGGTAAAGGGTGTAGCGCAGCTCGGACATGCGGTTTGCGAGCGCGGGCTGCGTCGGCTCCTGCAGGATGTGCTCAACGGGCTGCGTGGCCGGGAACATGAGCCGGTAGTTGATGCGCATCACGGGCCGGCCGTCGTCCGAGATGAAGTTACGCGTGACGTCCGCAACTGTGGAGCGCGCAGAGAGAGAGAGAGAGAGAGAGAG